CCATTTGGGGTCGATCGACCATTTCACGGGGGTCGCCAAGCAAGGCTGTCCGCCATTTTTTTTGTCCGCCATTTTTTTCCCCCTTTTCTGGCGGGTGCCTTACCTCCCTTGGGCTGGGCCAGCTGGTGGTCGGCCTGCTCCGTCTCTGCCGCTTGCCAGCTACGCCTCGGCCGGCGCAGGGGGCGGAACCACGCATGCGTGGCGCTCCCGGGCAGGGAAAGTCCTCGACTTACGACCAGTTGGGTAGTCCTCGACTTACGACCGGTTTAGTCCTCGACTTACGACCGGTTGGGGTCGCGGCATTAAAAAGGTTGAGAACCACTGGTCTTATGGCTTACATTTTCAAGTTTATTCATATGTTAAAAGTTAAACAATATGCAGGGACATCTGCATCTAAAGACATATTGTATGTTAAACAATATTTTCCTTCCTACAGTGCTGTCTTTTGTACCATCTGTTTTCTATATGCCATGAAGTGACACATATATAGTTATTTAATTTTTAACCAATAGGTGCATTAGTAATGATAAGCACTGGTATCAAACAATGCTTCAATGGGACCAATTAAAAACACAATGCCAGAATTTCACAAGCTTGTTCTTCCCTCAAACGTTCAGTGGAAGCAGAACTTCCTGTTTTCTCATGAATGTGAACATTAATCATTAGATTTTTCAGTTCTTCCTTTCCATGATATGAGAATCCTTCCTTGCCCTCTTGCAGTTTAAGTCTCTCCTGGTAAATTGTTAGGGCAAGATTTATTTCAGTCACATTATGTATCAAACAAACATATAGAAGTGGTATAAATTACCCTCCATATAAAGTCAAATCATTATTTAAAATATCTTACAGCTGAGCATCAAACCCAGATATAAAATTACAGGAATATTTATCAAATTTCTATATCACCCATCATACTTGCATGCCTCTGGATGGTTTACAAATATTGAGTTGACTCTGAAACTTTTTAATCACAAGAATGAGTTATTGATAGTCCAAAATTGCCCCAGAAACCCATGAGGTGGAAATGCCTATCATCTTTACGTACAAACAACTGTACAGGTTGCTAATTGCTTTTCAAGCCCAGTTCAAGGTGCCCATTTGGGTGTACAAAACATTGCAGAGTTTAGGTCCAAGTTACCTGCAAGATCAACTAATCTGTACAGTTCTCCCTGTGCTATCAAGACAACACATCTTTGCAGATTCCATGATAAACATATGTAATATCAATTTTCATTTGTTTTCCTATGGTGGCTCTTTATTGTGAAATACATTGTCACTGTGAATTGTGGGGGGGGCACGGAGACAGGCTCAGCCAATCTCATTGTATACATGTTGTATTTTGATAATAATAAAGGTTCATTCATCTACTGGAATTCAAGTGAGCCCCTTCTAATTGAAGTAGCAATTCGAAGCAATCTTTACCTTATCTATTTCTTATATCTTATAATCTAAGACATTCTAAGCCATCCAGGAACATCTATTTCCCTTTCCCCTCATCTCAAAATTTCATTTTAATCTTCAATAAGACCTTCATAGCACACAGAATTCCACATTGAGAATTCTGGATATAAAACCAGATAATTTTTTTTAAAGTAATCAGGATTGAATTCAAGTAGTTGTTGACATTCTATCTAAACCCTGCCCAAAAGACATTGTTGGGATATTTCTTACAAAACAATCATTCACTCTCCAAGGACATTAATTCAAGGTCACAGATTGGAAACTACCCTTTAGCATCAAACTTCTACACTCACAATCATGACAATAAAACGCAGCCACTTTCCATGTGTGTCAAAAAAAATTATCTGTATTAACAAGGTTATTTGAAGGGAACTAGAGAAGCAATTGCTCAACTATATTAATTTGCAGAATTAAACAGCATGATATTGCACGACAGGCAGAGAAAAGTCTAGTATTGCATTATTTTCTTCTCAATCTACCGCATCAACAGATACCACTTTCAAGATAATAAATGTTGTGACAATACAATAAAAAACATTTTACTTAAGAGTCCAGAAATGTTAAAAAAAAAAACAACAACCTCTCAATTTTGTGCACATTTGGGAATAAACACTTAAATCGCTTCTGAATCACAAGTGGGATTTACTTCTGTGCAAATATAACCAAAATTACACGACACACATATGATGCATTAAACGCTGTGCCTTTTTATTCAGAAGCCAACCCCAGCGGATGAAACCCAAAAGAGACTTAGAGCTACTTTGCTCATTTGTCCTTTTGCGGCGCTTGCAACGGAAAGTTCCCCAAAGCTGTTTTTCAAAAGGCAAACTGGACTTTCTTGGTTTTTTTTTTTTTCTTTGCAAACATTTCCCTTCTCATCCTAGAACAGTGTTTCTCAACCTTGACCATTTTAAGGCATGTGGACTTCAACTCCCAGAATTCCACAGCCAGCAATGCTGGCTGTGGAATTCTGGGAGTTGAAGTCCACATGCCTTTAAAATGGTCAAGGTTGAGAAACACTGTCCTAGAAGCTTCTTGGTTCTGACTGAATGGTGGAGAATAGAAGGATTCGTATTCTTCGCAGTCGTCTTGGTCGTTAGCACCCTGAAGGTCGGTCCTTGGCTTGAAAGTAAAACCAAGGAAGTCCAGTTGCCTTTTGAAAAGCACCTTTGGGACAACCATGACCCTGGGCGATTGGGGATCTCCACGGACACTTGCCACGGAGGATTTTTCTCTTTCTCGCCTCAAATCGAGGCAGTCAGGCTGCCAAACGATGCCCCTTCCCGGTGGGGCTCCCTGGGCAGCAACTGCGCTTGACTAACGGGCATCCTCAACTGACTCTCCGGCACGCCTGCCCGCCGGAGGGATTCTAGCGTCTGTCCATTCACCGGTTACTGGAGTCCCCTTCTCCCGAGAGCAGCAGGCCGAGGGCAGCGCTAAGGGCTACTCCCGGGACCGACCCCACCCCGCCGTACCTGCTTCTGAACATCGGCATCGCTCAGCGCCATGATGAACGCGGGGTGAAGAAGCGAAGGCTCGAGGACAGAAGGAGAAGCGTCCGCTCGAACCGGACTCCGGCAGGCAGAAGGGAACAGGACCCAATCAGATCCGGCTCAGGTCACTCTCAGCAGCTGTCGCAGCTGACATTCTACGTCACCCAGGCCCCGCCCCTTATTTACTGGCGTTACACCAATGGGAGATAAGAACTCAGTGACGTAATCAACGCCGAAGGGGCCGTCTTCCTGGGCTTCGCTCGGGGACTTCGGAATTGTAATAAGGAAGAGCGGCGCGCTTTACGTCCGGATGAGGAATTTCTGGCTCATATCGGATAACCCAGGGCAGGGGTAGGGCAACCTTGGCTCTTTTATGACTCGTGGACTTCAACTCCCAGAATTCCTGAGCCAGCACAGCTGGCTCAGGAATTCTGGGAGTTGAAGTCCACGAGTCATAAAAGAGCCAAGGTTGCCTACCCCTGACCCAGGGGGGTCTTCAAAGTTGGCCCTTTTATGACTTGTGGACTTCAACTCCCAGAATTCCTCAGCCAGCGTGCCTGGCTGAGGAATTCTGGGAGTTGAAGTCCACAAGTCATAAAAGGGCCAACTTTGAAGAGCCCTGGGATAACCCATCTACATTAAGAAAAGCAATGGAAGGCTGTCCAAAAGTTCCTCGCTCCCCTCATTTTTTTAAAAAAAAAAATTGAATTCGGCTACAGTCGTGCAAATTGAGTGGCAAAACTGTTGCTAATTACCGAGTTTCCAAGATCTCAAGTAACATAATTCCCTATTTAACATAATAGGGAAATTGTAAAGGCTGTTAATTGTTTGAGGATTGGATTCTTCTAAATGCTTTTTAAAATATAAAATCCATTAAAATTAGCCCCCCTGTAAGATGTGTAGATTTGTCAGTAGGAAGAAAGCAGAAGAAAAATAAGACATTTTTTGGCTCTCTGATTTTTAACAGCAGAAAATAAAAGGCAAAGCCAAACTGAGAGGCTTCCATAGGAGGTGGAGGTCTTCATCCTTACAAGTTATAATTCCAGTATTTATCTTATAAAATCCACCTTTGGGGATGGTCAGGAAACTGCAGATTCTCCAAACTGGAATGTTGGGTAGATTATTGAAGAGACCATCACATCTAGGGTGCCATAGGCCAGAAGATACTCTAGATCTGAGTAGCCTTTTTATTCCAATAGTTGAAAAACTTACCAGTGTTTCTCAAACTTGACAACTTTAAGATATGTGGATTTCAATTCCCAGAATTCCCCAGCCATGGTAGTTGTGGAATTCTGGGACTTGAAGTCTAAACCTGTTAATGTTATCAAGTTTGAGAAATACTGGTTTACAATTTGCCTGTAACCAACCAGATTGTGTGCGTGTATTAATTGCATGCCTTTTGTTTTAGCTTCTATATTGCGTTTGCACCTTGTTGTCCACGATGCCAAATCTATAGATAGGAACAGGTTATAAAAACTGTGAAATAAACGAACAAACAAATCGTCCAAGTATGAAGCCGCTGAGACTATTGGAAAAAAAAAACTAAATACCACACCGTACAACTCTACATTTCCTATCTCTATGTCCGAGCGTTTAACCACGTTGATTTCAAAAACTCTCGCGCAGTGTTTCTCAACCTTGACAATTTTAAGGCATGTGGACTTCAACTCCCAGAATTCCACAGCCAGCATTGCTGGCTGTGGAATTCTGGGAGTTGAAGTCCACACGCCTTAAAATTGTCAAGGTTGAGAAACACTGCGCTAAGCCGAGATCTCGGCGTGTATCTGCTTAGTCACCTCCTCCGCTACGCTCTAGGTGACGTCACACGCCCTCGCGCGCGCCCGCCGCCTTCAAAACCCTTCTTCTGCCCTCGCCCGGCATGGCGGCCACGGCAGCTGCTTTGCTGGAGGAGTGACGGGGAGGGGGGAGCGGAGCTCGTTGCTGCGCGCGCAACACCGACAGGCGGCAAGGGTCACTTTCGAGGGAGCGTCGCGCGCCCTCCCTCGTTTTGACCTCTGCCTCTTTTTTTTTTTTCGAGGGGGGGGGTCTTATCCTCGCGAGACTCAGGTAAGAAGCCGAACAGTCAGGAAACCGTCATCCTTTCCCCCCCCCCGCCACTTCCCAGAAGGGGAGGGGAAGGAAAAGGCAGCCTCAGGGTTCGTTCGCGCGTGGTTCCTCTTGGTCGCGTGCAGTCCCGAGGGTGAAGGGCGGTTAGTTGCGCGATCGGGGGGGGGCAGTTGACCCGGGAGGGGGGGGGAGGCCGTGATGGGAGGTCGGAACCCTAAAACGTGGGTGCGTTGGCGGGGGGGGGTTACTTCCTTGTCATCTTTCTCCCCCCCTTTCCCGGTTTCCCCCTCCTCACTTTTACTTAGGTCACCCCACGAGGGCTGCTGTGGCCCCCCCCTCCCAGTCCCCGAAAGACTTCCCTTCCTTCGTCTTTTGTATGACCCAGTCTCCTCGGAGCTAGCTGGGAAGCATGGGTTTAGTAGTCACGGTTCTGTACTGAGGGTGGGAGCATCGTTTGGTCTCAGCAGGTGGAACTTGGCCTGGCCTGGTGCTTTCAGTGGGCCTCTGTGCCAAGGGCTCGCCCCCCAAGGTTTCTGGGGCTGTGGAGGGCCCTGCTATCTTTCTCCACTTAAAGCAGGGGTTCTCAACCTTGGCAACTTTAAGACTTGTGGACTTCAACTCCCAGAATTCCTCAGCCAGCAAAGCTGGCTGAGGAATTCTGGGAGTTGAAGTCCACAAGTCTTAAAGTTGCCAAGGTTGAGAACCCCCTGACTTAAAGGGAAGAAATGGAGTGGAAAAGGGGCACATGGTCTATGACAGTGGTGGCGAACCTATGGCACGGGTGCCAGAGGCGGCACTCAGAGCCCTCTCTATGGGCACGCACGCCATTGCCCCAGTCCCAGGCCTTCAGCTGGGTTTTATAAAACCTTTTCACTTTAGGCCTCTGCCACCGTGTACAAAAAAGAAAGGTTCAGTCAATTTTAACTTCTTGCGGGAAAAAAAAAAGATCTTGCATAGTTGGAATTGATTGATTGAACTTTTTAGTCTCACCCAGTCTGCTGTTACCACCGCAGCCATGCCCACCCAATGGGCCACACCCACCCAATGGGCCACACCCACCTGGCACCCGACGATGCATAAGTGGGTTTTGGGTTGCAGTTTGGGCACTCGGTCTCTAAAAGGTTTGCCATCACGGGTCTATGATCTGATTACAGGAGTACTGTCCACTTTGTGGGCTGATAGCCCGCCGCTAGGATTAAAAATCTTGTGTTCCAAAAGTTTTTTCCTGGCAGAGACAGAATCAGTTGGTGGGATATCCTTGTGATTATGCTGGGAGTACAGTACATACCTTTGCAGAGGTAACTGTTAACCATTAATCACAGCCTGTAGGCAGACCAGACCAAGAAACCACCAGAAAGAAAAATACTTTTATTTGCCATAATAACAGAACTTTGCAAGTCTGATCTTGCTGGTCTCGTCCTCCTCCCTTTTGCCTAAATTACAGATTTTTCATGTTTCCATAAGAGTCATCTTCCTTATTCTCTGTAATAATTCTAACCCATTGGGTACGAAGAGAAGAAAGCACAAGACAGACATAATTGCCCATGATCAGTTGGGGTATGAATCTCTCTGGCAGGCAAAAATTTGCGTGGGCAGAAAAAGAACATGAGCCAACAGGACTGCTGTTCCTGGGTTGACAACTAAATGTTGGTATAAAGTTTTGAATGGAAGGAGAGCTGGGCCTAAATAAAAATGATGACTATAGAACAGTAAAGCTACCTATCCCGAAAAGAGGTGAGGTAAAATGATAGAGCATCCTAGAAAGCTAGAGGAGTGGTGGGAAGTAACTTCATATATTTGCTTTCTTATAAATAGATTTTTTGTGTTTGGCCATTTCTCCTATTGTAGTTGTTTTGTAACATCCTGAAATTGGTTACAATTGTAGCAAAACGTTTTACAACTATTGCAACATATGCAACAGATTTCTAAGCTGAAAATGTTTGATATATTTAAATTGATCCTTTAGACATTAAAGGCTTTTTTGCCTACCTCACATTCCTTCATAATATGTTAATTAGCTTTATATATTCATATAGTAATAGGAAAATTATATACACTAATAAACTGAAAAGTGACAGATAGCAAACCACTTTGGAATATTATTTTAGCAATTGGTATTTTTTTCATTTACAGTAATTGAATGAATTATTTGTGTATTGGAATTCTTTTCAATATCTGGAGATGTCAATCTGTATCTCCATGATTTCTGGTTTAAACTCAAATGACTTTGACAGATAAGTGGTGTAATTACATGGCATTTTGCTTTACAATCACATTATTTCGTGACAGAAATTCCAGTCCCAATTGGTGTCATTAACTGAGGACTACTTCTGTGTCATGAAATAGTTAAGTGTGTGTGTGCACATATGTATATGCATGCCTTCAAATCTGTTGATGCCTGGCAACTGACTGGACTAGTTCATTCAGTTTTCTTGGCAAGATTTCACAAACGGTTTACCATTGAATCATTTCTGGGGCTGAAAGAGAGTGACTGGCCCAAGGTCACCCAGCTGGTTTCATGTTAAGGCGAGGCTAGAACCCATAGTCTGTGTGCGGAGGATAGCTACACAATTGCAGAAAAAGATAACAGCTGCTTTAAGGGTTAGAAGAGAAAGCAGGCTTACTAGAGATGACTAAAACTGCAAACTTATTATTAACTTACCTCCTATAAAAAAATAGACAGCTGATCAATATATTTGCATATTTTATTGTACATGTTACAGTAGGGACATCTGCATCTAAAGACTGTTTCTGTAAAATAATAGGTGATAAAATGACAAATATCATGACCAGATTGGATTTATCTTTAGAAAATTTCAAAATAATTTTAATAACTGATAGTGTTATTAAAATATATTATGCTATCCATTTGTTTAATTAAAACTTTGAAATATAGTTCACATAATGTCCATTTTTTAAATGTATTTCGGCAGGCAATTCTTAAGTTGGTTGCAATTTATCAGTTGTACCGACTGTCTAAACCAGCATTTCCAGACAGCTAATTGCTGTAAAGGGCTTTCTCTAGAGCTGACTTTCTTGCTTTCCTATTCAGTTCCTCTAGTAGTTATTGATCAACTGTTCAGCAGGCTGTGGGGAACACTCAGATACAGTGGAACTGGCAGTTGTGTCCTCTGTACCCCTATCAGGACAAAAAAGAAATGGGTCAGAGGCAAACACCCAAAACCTAAGGGGGAGGAGGATGCAGATGGAATTTCTTATTATGCTATTCAGGCGAGAAGCTTAGTAAAGCTTTTTCTGTGTCAATTTGTAGAGGATTTTATAGAACAATAGAATTCAAAGGGGCTGTTTACACTATCACATTCCATGCAGGAATCCAAATTAAACTACGGTATCCATGACCAGTAGATGTCCAGACCCCTGATTGAACATATTTAATGAAGGGATGTCTGGGCAATTGTTTCATCAGCTGAATCACTGTTCCTGTTAGGAGATAGATAGATAGATAGATAGATAGATAGATAGATAGATAGATAGATAGATAGATAAATAGATAAATAGATAAATAGATAAATAGATAAATAGATAGATGATTGATTGATTGATTGATACGGTAGATAGATAGGCTTCATTTAGTGCTGTCATATCCCACTCAGTATTCTTAACGCTAAACATTCCCTCCTTTTTTTCACTTATTGTCTCCTCTAAATCGTTCCAGGTAGTCCAGACTTATTAGAATAAAGTTTGACCATTGCAGAATAAAATATACTACTTTTAATACAACCTAACATTGCATTTACTTTTTCTAAACCATTGTCACACCTATGAGTCATTTCAGTTTGCAGTCTACTGCTATTCCAAGATCTTTTTTCACAAGTCTTGTCAGCAAGTCAGGTGATCCTAAAATACATGTAATAATAAATTTGGCAACTTGCTATAAAGTTTATGTAACTTTTTATTTCCTAGGACAGTGGTGGCGAACCTATGGCACACATGCCAGAGGCGGCACTCGGAGCCTTCTCTGTGGGCATGCACGCCGTTGCCCCAGCCCCGCCTCCCCCCATGGTCCCCTTCTCACCAGCAGCCCCCCTGGAGGAGAGTCGCCCCCCGGGCAACAGAGACAAGACTCCGCCCTCACACCCCATAGTGTGCAGATGATGCTGTGGGGTGTGGGCAAAGGGCATGGCTGTCATGGTGCTGCAGGGTTGCCTGGCAATCTGCTGCAGCAGGCCATGGAGGCGGTGCGTGGCCCTGCAGGCGGGTAGGGCAGGGGGTGGGGGGGGGCGGAGCAGGCAGGGTGGGAGGCGGAGCGGGGGTGGGGTGGGTGGGTTTTGGGCACCCGATCTCTAAAAGGTTCGCCATCACTGTCCTAGGATATTTATGTTGATATATGTGCTGACATAAATAATCAGAATATGGTTGCAAATTTCTAAAATGTATATTTTTGCTTATTTAGATTATAAACGAAGAAAACATTACGTGGACCATAATCCTACGGAATTTTGGAAGCAACTCAATGGCATCCTCTACCGCTGTACCTGTAGGTTTTCATTATGAAACAAAATATGTTGTCCTCAGTTATTTGGGTCTCTTGTCACAGGAAAAGCCTCAGGAACAGCCCTCTCTGTCCACTCAAGGTAAAATATTCAGTTCAGTTACAGTTGAATATATAATAAATGGAATTTTAAAATATTTTAAAAATGTAAAGTATGAACACTGTTTTACTGAATGGTAAGGTAAAACACCAAAATCTGGTTCTGGGGAAAAAAAGGTAGTTATTGATATTTTTAACTTAAGTAGCATTGTGTGTATTTGAAAGGATGTTCATTTTACTTATAATAAGTAATTCATGCCCATTGGGACTTCTCATTAAAATAATTTTTAATACTAATTCTAAATGTTCAGCATATGAGTAATGTGTAACTTCTTAAATAAATTATGATAGTAATTATAGAATTAGTTTTAGAGAAGAAATACACTTAATATATATCATGTATGTATGAAACATCAAACACTTCTGGAACATTAACAATTCATTTCCAGGTTTGTAGACATTATTGTGCATGTGACTATTGCTTTAGTACTGCCCTACAACGACAAAGAGGAAATTTTATAATCCCTTTGAATCAGGTCATGTTGTTCTATATATTGTTTTACCTGCATGGTTCCAAATCTTTGCAGAATCATGGCAGCAGCAACATAGCAACACAATATTGTTATGTTGTCAGCAGAAAACACAATAACACATTGTTATAAGGAACAGAGGGCTGCAGGTTCATAACCAAAAATAGCAATTAATGCACAAAGAATAAGTAAATAAATGAGTAACCATCCAAATGCTGAGGGCCATTCCTTGAAGGCCCTGCAGAAAAGTTTGGTCTTAGGAACTTCCAGAAGCCAACCCCAGAGGAACCGGTCTGTGTTCTAGAAGGAAACTTTTCTAGAGCATTGGTGCCATGATGGAAAAATGGTTCTTTGTGGCCTCAGTCTTCTCACTGACCTCTCAAACTGTTTCACAAATTTGTAGTTATATAAGAATCAGTGTTATTACTTTCATATCAACAAATTAATTTTTTTTAATTAGAAACTGCTATACTGCTATACTTGCACCAGTCTGTTATTTTTCTAGAAGTGAGGAGCATGTTTTTCTTCTCCAAACAGCTTTATGAATAAGAAGGAAAATAACAGAATAGTAGAATATTCTAGTCAGTTAAGAGAATCTCAAAACTGCTTCTTTAAAAAAAGGCAGTTGGGCTGTTTTTTTCCTTGAAGAAGGCAGCAGTCTTCTTCCTCAGGAAAAACAGTCCAGTTGCCTTTAAAAAAAAAAAAGACAACTATGACCTGGATGACAAAGAATTTCCACAGACATTTAGTTAAGAGAGTATACTATTTAAATAATAAATGTAAATACAACTATTCTGGAATATCTGCATTATTCTAAGAATGCCCCTGCGCTCAGTCACTCAAGCCCTCTTCATCTCTTGGCTGAATTATCGCAGCACACTCTACATGAAGCTGCCCTTGAAGAGTATCTGGAGGATTCAGCTGGTGTAGAATGCAGCTGTGCGGACAGTTCTTGGTGCCTCTGGGGCAGCCCCTGTTACACTGCTGTTGTGAGCTGCACTGGTCGCCAGTTTGCTTCTGGGTCCAATTCAAGGTGCTGGAAGCGCTTAATGGCAACACCCTATAACAGTGGTGTCGAACCTATGGCACGCGTGCCAGAGGCGGCACTTGGAGCCCTCTCTGTGGGCACACATGCTGTTGCCCCAGCCTCGCCTCCCCCCGTGACCCCCTCCCCTCCAGCAGCCCCCCTGGAGGAGAATTGCCCCCGAGCGTGGCCCATGCGGAGCAGAGCAGCCAAGGTCATGGCAACCAGGCAGCGTGGACAAGGCTCTGCCCTCACGCCCCATCATGCAGTTGATGCTGCGGGGTGCGAGCAGAGGGCATGGCCGCTATTGGTGCTGCTGGGCTATCTGCAGCGGGCCCTGGAGGTGGTCAGTGGCCCTGCGGGCAGGCAGGACGGGGTGGGGGTGGAGCGGGAGCGGGGCCAGTTTTTGGGCACTCAGTCTCTAAAAGGTTTGCCATCACTGCCCTATAACAAAGTGTTATAAAGCCTTTTATGGCATGAGTCCAGGTTATCTGGGAAACCAGCTCATCCTGCTGGGATTAGTCTGCCCCACCTGCATTGGCAGAAAAGGCATACTGCAGAGTCTTGTTGGTCAAGGAACTTCGGCTGACGGAGTCCAGGAGAAGAGCCTTTTCTGCTGTGGCACCTGCACTCTGGGACATCCTGCCCCCCCCCTCTCCCAGAAGTGAGATGTACACTCTCTCTTCTGGCCTTCCAAAAGGGTTTGGAGACCTGGCTCTGCTAACTGATCTGGACCCCCAGTGGAGGAGTGGCATCTTGGAGCTGGTTAATGGATTTAGCCAGACCCCACCTCTGCCCCATGCACACTTGGCTCCCTTCCGCTCCATCTTGATTAACTGAATTTTAAATGTATGGTTCTTGTTTATTGTTTTAATTTTTTATTCAGTATTTTAATTGTAGGACTGTAAGCTGCCTAGAGTTGCCTTGGTGAGATCGGTGGCATAGAAGTTTAATAAATTAATAAAAAATAAAATAAATAATATTCCAGGAAATTAAATATCAGCTTTGCAGGTATTTATAGGTACTGATTCCCAAAGAAGTCACTTTAATCCAGGCATGTCAAACTCACGACATCACGTGACATCGTGCAACGTATCGCGACTTTTTCCCCATTGCCGGCGTGGTTTCAGTGTGACGCATCCGGCCCGTGGGCCGGCAGTTTGACATGCCTGCTTTAATCAGTCTTAATTTTCTTCCAGTTCCCAATATTAAATATATATTTACAGCACAATCCTACTAATGTAAATGTAAAAGGATTCAGTAATACGGGTAGTTCTGCTTATGATTAGTTTTCTTCAATTATACTTTGCTGTTTGAAAAATTTGCTTGGATCCCTCTTTGTATTAAATACACAATCTTGACTTTTTAAGTTTTTGACAAAATAAAGTACTTTTGCTCTAGTGTAAATATATGTAATAGTGATTGATCTTTGCTGCTCATCTATGTGTAGAACCATCTACGGTCTCACAAGCTTTAGAAAAAGAAATCCTGGACAAAGTTAAAGCCGAAATTGAGGAAGAATTGAAACATCTTGATGAAGAAATTTTGGAAGGTTTGTACATATTGGTATATTTTTCTTCCTGTGTTACTAATGTTATGAAAGGGTATTATTTTTCCTTGTTCCCAGAGGAAAAAAATCTAAAAACAAGTATCACTAGCATGATTTGACCACTCATTTACTTTGTTAATCACAGCTTTTGAAATATTTGATATATGGGTATAATCCAACAATATTTAAATTACCTATTTTGATAATTTTCATTTGACGTTGAATAGGTAAGAATAATAGAAATCCTAAGTTTTATTACTCTGTTTTAGTATTAAATGATGGGTTGCCTTTGATTTTTCTGTACCTTTTTTGTGTTCTTCCTGAGCTGTATTCTTAATACTAGACACTTTAATGCAGGGGCCCCCAACCCCGGTCTGTGGACCAGCACTGATCTGCGGCATGCCAGAAACAGGTCTGCACAAACAAACGAAGCCCCATCCACAGGATGCAGGCAGTACACTAAATCATGCCCCCTCTGGTCCATGGAAAAACCTCTTTCCAGAGAACTAATTCCTGGTTCCCTGAAGGTTGGGGGCCATTGCTTTAATGAATTCCTTTTTCTTTAATAATATATTGTTTTCACCAGTGATAAAAATCCGTCATAAATTAACTCTGCTATTTATTTTCAGCTTTCACTACAACTGGCTTTGACTGCCACACGTCTCCAGTATTTAGTCCTGCAAACCCAGAGACTTCAATTGAAGATTGCTTAGCTCATCTCGGAGAGAAGGTATTCCAAGAATTGAAAGAACCTCTTGAAAAGGCATTAGAGATCCTACTTAGCAAGTGAGTTCTCATTTGCTTTGCTCAGCAGGAAGGTACTTGCTCTTAAAATTCTCACAATTTTCATAATGCTGATATGACTGAATTTTGCTACAGCTTTTTTTTACGTTGACTGACTTGCTCTTAAATGTATGTGCTTGCTGATTATTGCAGAAAATGAACTAGCATTTTTTTCTGTTATTTAAAGCTGGATTTTTGATCCAACACAAAGACAGCACATTTTTCATATCCAGTATTTACACCACAATGGCCAACAAAATGAAAGGTTATTTATTTAGCTTATGGCATATCATACATGGATTAGCAATATATATTAACATTTCAACTAGATTAGTAGAACCCAGTAAAATATAAATGCTAAAAAGATATGTTCAAATATCAACGTCTAGGCTACCCATTGAAGCGCAGCATCATTTATATTTTTTAAAAATCAGGTTATTATTCATATTAGATACTGGTCAGATTTGAATCCTTCATCCCAAATATTAAATACTGGGTGTTATACTGTAGGGCTAATACTGAGATCTTTGTATTTTAGGAACCGCAAGTGTTGCCAAACACATATTGGGTGTACATTTTCTATTAAAATTGCTTCTCTATTTTCATAGGGGGAGCACTCCTGACATTTAATAAAATATCAAGTAAAAAATAATAGAACTTGCTGCAATGTAAGTCAGCAATATGTGTTAATGTTACGTAGGAAATTGATACCTTCACTGTTACGTATGCTTGCATAGATCATGTATAAACAATGATAATGCAGTATGGTCATTGAAGTGTTGTATTAAACTTTACAAATACAAGAACCCACCATATGTACAGTGCATACTTGTTGGTTTCCTTTTCCTTTCCTGGTGTCTTTAGCTTTATTAAAGAAGTCATAACAAGTTGACAAGTTGGTCTCAGAAAGCAAAGCAGGATCAGATATAGTACACTGGGTGAGTTAGGTTTGATTGAGATGTTAAAACATTTGATATGTAAAACTGGGATATTATAAAAGCATTCATTTTGTTAATGCTATGAATGTTAATGTGATAAGATAAAAAGTATCACAATAACTTGCTAAATGTGATAGCCCCCCTGTGTTGTATAGTGAGGCAAAAAGTATTTGATCCCCTGCTGATTTGTACGTTTGAGTGAGAGACAGAATAACAACAAAAAAATCCAGAAAAACGCATTTCAAAAAAGTTATAAATGGATTTGCATTTTAATGAGTGAAATAAATATTTGACCTCTTATCAGTCAGCAAGCTTTCTGGCTCCCAGGTGTTTTTTTATATAGGTAATGAACTGAGATTAGGAGCACTCTCTTAAAGCTTGTTACCTGTATAAAAGACACCTGTCCAGAGAAGCAATCAATCAGATTCCAAACAAGACTATCGCCAAGGTGACAACAGTTGGTGCGATTATTCGCAAATGGAAGAAACACAAAATAACTGTCAATCTCTCTTGGTCTGGGGCGCTCCATGCAAGATCTCACCTCGTGGAGTTTCAGTGATCATGAGAACAGTGAGGAATCAGCCCAGAACTATACGGGAGGATCTTGTCAATGATCTCAAGGCAGCTGGGACCATAGTCACCAAAAAATACTTATTTCACTTATTAAAATGCAAATCAATTTATAACTTTTTTGAAATGCGTTTTTCTGGATTTTTTTGTTGTTATTCTGTCTCTCACTGTTAAAATAAAGCTACCATTAAAATTATAGACCGATCATTTCTTTGTCAGTGGGCAAACGTACAAAATCAGCAGGGGATCAAATACTTTTTCCCCTCACTGTATAATTCCAGCAGTGTCTGGAATTTAAAACTGCAGCAATTTGAAAAAAAAAGTTTTAAAAGGCATTAGAATTTTATTCTATCTAAAAGGACTATAAGTAGTCCTAGACTTACGACCACAACTGAGCCCAAAATTATTAGAGGAGAACTCAAGAGGAAGTCACAGGACAGTAGGCTAGACTGGGAATGGAAAATTATTCCAGAAGAAGGCAGTGCCAGACTACAAATTGGGAGCCATAACACTGGGGTTCAATTAGCTGAATCCAAATTTAGTATTGCTTAAAACTCACAGAAATGGTGGAATTTAAACTGATAACTGATAGCTTTAAGCAGGAAATATCTGATGCATAATATACGCAAATCCACATGTTATGCTAAACGCATTCCTTCTGGTGTGTCCGGTGTCTTTAAAGGATGCATCCAAATTGAATTTGAACCTAAACATCTTTGTTCACTAGTATGAGATTGTTGCCTCTCCATAGGAGTGTGTAAAGTTTAACATAAGGAGGCAGAATTGAAATTTGAAGTTAACAAAACCACAATCAAGACATACTTGTTTATTTTGAATGAGTTTAAATCCTTGGGGCAAAATTAATTGCATTCTACAGCATGGAAGAAATGCTGTTGGTCTGGTTAAACATTTCTGTACTGTACAGAAAAATCAATGAATTGTAAGAAACTAGAGGTGGGAATTTTCCCTATCTTCATATAGGGGACCATGTGATACTGATACCTGGGAAGATTCTAGAGCAGGCATGTCAAACTGCCGGCCCACGGGCCAGATGCATCATGCCGAAACTACACCCATCCGAAACCACACCCATCCCATTGCTGGCAATGGGGGAAAAGTCCCAATACATTGTGCGACGTCACGTGACGTCACGAGTTTGACATGCCTGCTCTAGAGGTTATCATGAAGTGGTCACTCTGAAAACCTTGAAAACAATGTGGGATAACTAATATCATAGTGGGATAACTAATATCGTAGAAGTAATAAAATTGCTTGCGGAATTATATCCATTTTTATAACAAAAATATAAATGGTTGGACTCTATTATTAAACTGTATTAATATCTGTGATATATCATACAAATCAGAAACTTTCGGCTAACAACTTCTCTGAGGAAGGTATATAAGCCCGCTTCAAAATACACAATTTGAATCTGATTTTTAATTAACTAGAATGAATAGTGGTTAAATAATGGATTTTAACTGTAGCTATTTCAATCTAGGTTACATAAGATACCATATATTAAAAACAATTTGAATCTTCCAATTTTTTTCTAAGAAGTATAAAAAAGACACTTGTGAACTATTTAACTTTTTTGGGAAGTCATTGCACCTTAGCATAAAAGAGTTTATGAAGCTAAAATCAACCTTGAATTCTGTATAGGAATGATGGGATACAAATAAAAATATTTAGGTTTCTGACAATGTTAATGAGCGGAGGGCAGTTGGCATCTGCTCAAGGCATGAATCGTGGCAATATTTGGTTAACAAGATCTTATGCTTTTGCTGTTTGCTTTTCAAAGTTGTATAATTTTTTTCATGAGTTGTGTGGTTTAATGCTGTTAATAGATTGGTTCAACTTCTTGAAACCAAAGAATCGCTTGGGCCTTTTTGATTGGGTTAATATAGTTAGCTTAGTGGTGTACAGATATAATGAAAAATGTTATATTTTTGCCTTTCTTTAGTTTCATTATCTTCCCTTTTGGTTTCTCTCATTCAGGCCAGTGAATTATCAGGAATACAAAGAGAGGACGCAGGAAGCAGCAAGTCATGCTAGTGGATGGAGCAAGGTAATGACCAGCTCACTTTTTAAAATTTCCTTCCACTGGATGTTGAGTCAGTGCCAGGTGAATTACCTGAAACATATTCAATTTCTTAATTCAGGGTTAGATTCAGGATGGCTGGACTGATGACTGGACAGACAGATTTATTTAACTTGGCTAGCTAGTGATGTCTGCAGCATTCATTCCTTTTCAGGAACATCTTCTTTGAGATACCTACAATTCACTAATAATTAGTTGCAAAAAATAATTGTTGAGTAAGTACATTACATATTTAATATGTCTTGTATACAGTGCATATTACTGTGTGTGTATATATATGAAGCTTGAAGACATTGAAGTAGATGAATAAACAGAAATCAGTAATGCAAACTAAAAATTATGATCCAGAAAAAGTCCTGTTTGATTCCAGTACATTTTTTTTAAGACAAGGCTTGTAGTCTGCTGCCTTATCAACAAAGAAATATTAGCATAACTTTCTGGCCTGAAAATTGTAAGTTGGCTGTAACTTCCACCTACACCTCATTGTATTAAGTGTAGAAAACAAATGAAACAACTTTTGGGCAATATTGTTTCATTTTCTTCATGAAATGGCTGGAGAAGTCATCTAGAGGTTTAGGTTAAAGTGTCAGAAATGTGTTTATTAGAAGTAGTCCTACTCTTCTTTCTATTTAATAATCTTTAAAATGGGAGGCTACTTTCAACCCAATAACCCTGCAAAATTCAAAACAAATGCCTGGAGGAAATTCTAAGATAGGTAAAATAAATGAATGAAGAAACTTTTTATGAGATAAATTAGCCTTCTGGACAGTATTATAATTGACCAGTATTCTATTGAGTATTATTCTAATATTGTTTCAGATTTGAACATGTAAAGGTATTAATTTGCTCCACTTATAAATAATATATGTACATTTTTGATGAGTTTTTCTTCATGTTAAGTATACTGGGTATACTTGCATGCATATAGGTAGTCCTCAACTTACGACCACAATTGAGCCCCAAATTTCTGTTGTTAAGTGAGACATTGGTTAAGTGAGTTTTGCCCCATTTTACACCCTTTCTTGCCTTAGCTATTAAATGAATCACTGCAGTTAAGTTAGTAGCACAGTTATTAAACGAATGTGACTTTCCCATTGACTTTGCTTGTCAAAAGGTCACAAAAGGTGATCACGTGACCCCCAAGGACAACGCAACGGTCATAAATATGTACCTGTTGCCAAGCCTCTGAATTTTGATCACGTGATCATGGGGATGCTGCAAAGGTCGTAACTGTGAAAAACAGTCATAAGTCACTTTTTTCAGTGCCATTGTAACTTTGAACGGTCACAAAAAAACCTGTTATAAGTTGAGGACTACCTGTATGTCCACACCGAAATGCCTAACATGCATCAGATGCTTTAAATGTAGAAAATCTTGTCATTATGCCACAATCTTATAGTTCCTGGTCCTTATTTTCTTTAGGTTTTAGTGCCCCTGGTGATTCTTCAGCGGTTCTTGGTAGAGCTGTCCAAAAAGGGCCAAGAACCACTTGGTGCACTTCTGAGTTTTGGAGTGACCTACCTTGAAGATCATGTTGCAGATTATATCATCCAGCAAGGCGGATGGGTAAGATAGATAACATTTGACTATATCTTTCTTCTGAAATGACAACTTCAGATATGTCTATTTTAGTGTGACAATGGCTTTAACGTTTAGCAGTGATAAAGCATATGGCTTCCCTTTTGAAAATAGCAAAGAATGATCAAATATTTTGTTAAAACTGGCTTTAAAATTCTCACTGGTCTCTGCAAGAGACAAAGCTTATTCCTAAATATATTTTTTTCCCTGTGGCGTTTAACCTAATCTAACTTTCAGTTTTTGGAAGAAGTTTTCAACTATCAAACAGCAAGGAGCAATTCCATTGTATCCATTTTTACTAAACTTTTGTGAATGTGATAAAATCTATAACTTTTTCATTTTTTATTTTCTAATGATTGATGATTTCTGGAGTTTTCCTCCCCCTTTTTACATTTGATATTTATACTATTCTGAGCAGAAAACTCTTTGGTTTAATTATATTTCCTTTTAAGCATCATAAGATGTTCCTTCCTCAGTTGTATTAACCATTAAATATTAGAAAATTACCCTTCTAAAATCTGGATATTTATTGTTCCGCAAGAAATCAGTTTCATTTAAGATGTTATTTGAAAGTAATGTTGAATGTATAATGAAGCCTGCTTAAAACATACAGATCATTTCTTTCTTTTTCTGTTTTTGAAAAAGTTGTGAAGTAGAGCTGACGGCACCCAGATTATTCCTTACTGGAAGACAGAACAACATCAGATTTAAACAGAATTAATCTGGGATTAGTGAAATTATCTCCAAGTAGTTTTAAAACCTCTCTATATTTGATAAAATATAGATTATGCTGTTATGTAGGTTATGTTCTATTTGATTTGTTGCACATTTGTTTTTCATTCTCTCCCCTTCCCCCATTTTTCCCCATCTTGGTATAACAAATTATTTAGATTTCATTTTTTGAACTATACTTGAAGTATGAAGCAGGATTCATATATCCAGCTACAGTCTTAAGTTTTAAATTTAATGAAAGTTAGCTTCCAGATTGTCTTTGGCAGGCAAACAAAATTTTGGGGTTGCTTGTATGTTCATGCCATAGTTAACAATGAAATTATTAGGCAGCCAATATACTATTTTAGCAATCCTAATGTCTGCTAATTTTTTCCACAAATAGTTGGAGAGATGCAGCTTCCAAAATAAATGCAGGGCATACACTATTCCCAATAGAAGCAAATCATGCTGTGGTTCGCAGTATGACTATTTTAGGTTCACCATTGGAGGACCCTGAAGGACCAGAAAACCTGTGTGGCCACTAAGAGTTAATCAATTTAGCATTAAACTAACTTACCAAATGCAGTATAGTTCTGCAATTAGATGACACACTTAATTGCTGCAGGATTAGGAATGGGTAATTCAAAGCTCTATTTCATCAGCTATGGGTCACTTGTAAGACATTTTTAGCCATACAGGTAGTCCTTGACTTACGGTACTTACAGGTAGTCATAACCATTCGTTCAAAGTTATGTCAGTACTGAAAAAGGTGACTTATGACCAGTCCTTGATTATCAATATTACAGTGTCCCCATGGTCATGTGATCAAAATTGAAAGTTTTGGTAACTGGCATGTATTTACAACAGTTGCAGCATCCCAAAATCATGTAATCACCATTTGTGACCTTCCCAGGGAGCATCCAACAAGTAAAGTCAATAGGAGAAGCCAGATTTACTTAACAACTACGTAGTTTGCTTAATGACCATGACACAAAAGTTGTAAAATTGGGCACAAGTCATTTAAGAACCACATCACTTAGTGAAGGTAGTTCTGGCTTTTAATTGTGATTGTACGGACTATCTGTATGTGATTAAACAAGTAAGATGTGTGAATGTGCAACTGTCCAGTTATATCTTCCATAAGATAATTCATTCTGATGGGCTTACAGGTTGCTTTCATTCCTCAATATATTTGATATATATATTTATCTATATTTGTGCTGTAGTACAGGGGTCCTCAACCCCCGGTCCATGAATCAGTACTGGGCTGCGGCATGCCAACAATTGGTCCGCACAAACAAGCAAAGCCCCATCCATGAGATACAGGCAGCACACAAAACCACGCCCCCTCCGGTCCACGGAAAAATCTCTCTCCACAGAACTAGTCCCTCGTGCCCAAAAGATTGGGGACCTCTGCTATAATATATAGCTGTTCATGAAGATTTAGAGAATTCTACTTCTAAGAAGTTAGGAATGTTTACTCTGGAACACTATTTATAATCACTTTGGTTGTTTAATTGTTAAATCTTAGTGCTTAGTCATTCACTCAAATACAAGGGTTGCTTAATATCTTTATGAACTGACTGTTTATTGGGATGGATGGATAGCTAGCTAGCAAGTCAGACAGACTCTCTAGAAGAACTGTGATCTCAAAAGTCCTTTTCCAAAGGTGCTGGGTTGAGCTCTCTGGTCTGCATCTGTATCAGCATGGATGAATGTAAGATAAAGAGTTAGTAGAACCAAAGCATAAACAAGACACATAGATTTTACTATCACTTGGGCTCAGATGTTTTGGACAACTTTTATCAAGTTTAGTTGACTGGAAAGGAGTCAGCTGTTATCAGCTCCAAACACACTTTTTTCATTCTCTTATAAATATTCCAATGCAAGGATCAACTTTCTACTGAATTCCCCTTTTGTGGCTTAGTGGCAAGCAATATCAGCATCCAAACACAAGTAATATTCAGTTTAAAATTTTATTTAAACCAACTTTGGTGCAAGTTTACTCAAGAATAAATAAAAGCAACCGAAAGAAACTAAATTATGAGTTTTTAAGAATTTTTCTATGTTATTCAGTAAAATCCAAATTAAACTTACCAAATTGAATGGCCAGGAAAATCAATGATCTGACAAAATACAAAAATGAAGATAAAACAGGATGCTGTGGAAGCTTGTCCAGATGTGTTGGTGAAGCATCAAATGGTGAAGATCTTCTGGCTCATGTTGAAAACATTTGAAAAGACTTTTCTTTTTTGGCCAGTCTGCAGTCAATTCCTCAGAATCCCAGTCCTTTGATAGGGTCATCCATAGCCATACAACTTGCTCATCGTAACATTGGTTGAGATAGTTTACACAAATAGTTCTTGATCTTCAGGTCTGTTCATTGACTCGCCCATGTCTTACTGTATGTTGTTTATACCAAATCTTTAGCTGTTTATTAAGAGATTAATAACCCTATATCTTGGTCTCTGCTTGTTGAATGATGCAGTGTAGCACACAACAAAACTTGGGAATCAGTAGTAGTGCCATTCCTAGATTAAAAACATTTTAAATAGAAAAAAAATATTAACTACACAGTAATACAAATTGAATAATTCAAATATGAAATTTACACATTGCAGCAAAAATATATGGATATTTTCCCCAATCTTATCACCATAAATTATGCATTCATCCATTATTTCTACCCAGGTATTAAATTTGACTGATAGAGGCTTGAAGAACTAGGAGGGCAGTGCTATTTGTGAAACTATGCTGGAAAAGTGAAAGTACTAAAGGGGCAATATGTTTTCTGATGCTGGATATATTTGACATGATTAATTGCTCTAAAAAGCAAAGTTGTACTGAAAGAACGTATGCTTTAATTCTGTTTTACATTATATTCAGTTTGGGGCTGGTAGATGGTTTTGATTTACTTTTAACAAGCTTGTGTTTTTAAAGTTATATGGTTTCATTTTATGTAAGAAGAAAATGTTGGATGCCTGAAAGAAATAAACTGCTTCACAACATTTTTGAAATTATTAGCCTTTTGCATATAAAGGCTTTTGCTAAAACTCATTTGTAAATTAGAACTTTAAACTAATAGTGCCGCTTATAAACACTGAAAGTAATGTTGGAGTAGCTGCACTGGTTGGAGCGAGCTGCACTGGTTGCCGGTGGCCTTCCGGGTGCCCTTCAAGGTGTTGGTCATCATCTTTAAAGCGCTCCATGGCATCGGACCTGGATATCTCCGAGACCGCCTTCTGCCGCAGATTACCTCCCATCGGCCGGTACGCTCCCACAGAGTGGGTCTCCTCAGGGTGCCGTCAGCCAGACAGTGCNCCCCCAGAGATCCGGGTGATCCCGGATCTCCCCTCCTTCCGCCGCGCCCTTAAGACATGGCTCTTCCAACAAGCGGGATTGGCCTAGGGGAATTTTTAGTGGGGTTTTAAGAATAATTTTAAATTGACACAGGCCACATCAAATATTTCATTTTAATTAGGTTTTAAAGTGGGTATTTTTATCTTTGTATCTGTTTTACAAGGCTGTCAGCCGCCCTGAGTCCGTAAGGAGAAGGGCGGGATAAAAATTAAATAAATAAATAAATAAATAAAAAGGGAGCAAATTTTGCTTCCATTCAAGGACTGAGGTGGAGTCAATCCTCCTGAATTGACTATCATTATTAAACCTTTTGGACTTTCTGGATTATCTGTGAGGCTTAGTGGTGGCTCTGATGTAGCAGTTCTATTTCTTCCTAAATGGAAGTTTTAGTAGTTTTAGTAATATACTCATTTTGTTGTTTTTGTAATTGTAATTTTATTTTTTGAACTGAGATAACAGTTGCATAAAGAGTGCGAAAAAGTCAGCAAAAAGGATAATAATAATAATAATAATAATACTTTAATTTATACCCCGCCCTTCTCCCGGCATTAAGGTTTTAAAACTATTTCTACATACTGAAGGGCAATGGAGATGTAGTTGCAATTCAGTCATGTTCTATGTAAGCAGTAAGTATTAACCTAAATTAATGTGCCCGCTAATCCGCTCTGCTATCAAACATTGTATAGATTTTAAAAAGCAGAGAAGGGGAGTGATTTCTGTTGACTCATGCATCTTGTTTGTTTTTCTTAAGGTAGTATGCAAGTATTTTCAGAAGTGAAATATATGTTTTCAATAAGATAGAGAATCAGCCCTTTAGCGTTTTCATAGACAAAGGTTATTTTGCAAGCAGTGCTTAAAAAAGGAAAGGTTTAGTATTTCCCCCTGGGTTAAATCAAAAATGTCCACTCTAATTTGGT